GGGGTATCCATCCATGACACAAAATCAATACATACACAGCAAAAAAAAAACACACAAAAAGCAAAGGAACAGCGCTTTTATTGCTGTTCTTCATCTCAAAGTCACAGTGAGGCCTTCACCACGGAGCAAAAAAAAAAACTCTCACCTCACTGCAAGTTTAAGACGGCCCTAACACCGGCTTGAAGGGAATTCTTTGCAAAAATAATTTGGATAGACTTTGTAAGATGCAACACCACCTAATCGGGCCCGGTCAAAAAAGAACATACTGGAAAGTAGTACATATTTAAAACAAAATAGTTCCTACATGTACAGATTATCGTCTAATTAGACAGAAATTAATGTATTTTTTAATAAAAAAAGTAAGTATTAAGTATAAGTAAGCATTTTTTTATGAAGAGTCGGCACATTTGTAAAATCAACAATAAACATGACTATAATATATCATCAAAACAACCCAATACAAGATTTGAACTAAGACAAGTACATATAAGCATATTAATGTATTATGATTTTGCATGCTATATATCAACCACAAAAAAAAATCTATACGAATTTTGCCAAATACAAAGCAAGGTAATAGTGCTTTTATTGCTGTTTTTCATCTCAAAGCCACTGCAAGTCCTTTAAAACGAAGCTAACGCTGACTTCACTGCTAATTCAAACGGTCATCATTACCGATTTGAGCAGATTGCTAGATGTCGCCATACGCTACGTAATGTGAATATAAGCCATGAAACTGTCACGGTGACTAAGCATAGGCAATGGGGGAAAGGGGGGAGAGAAAACTAAATAGAGGTTTCGATTAATTGAAAAAATTTATCCCGAAATTAGAGTTGAAAGGAAAGGTTTTGATGAATATCATCCTTGATATCAGTAGCTTGTTACATTTATAAATTATCTGAAAATCACATCAGTTTTTATCTCTTCAAAAAAATCTGGACAATGTGCATCATAGCAATTGATCGATCGGTCGTAAGAAATAAAAATGACCAAATATGCAACAAACATTTTTTTCGGATAGCTTGTCCTTACTTAATATATAGGGCGATATGGCCAAAACATCAACGAAAAGGACCGAGAAATGGCATCCGCTAATATTTGATTGGATATTGTATTTCTGTATAAACTATAACCAATGAATAGTTAGTCATGCAATAAAATTATATGCACGAAGAAGGCACAAAATGATGAATACAAGATTTCCATTGGCCATTAAAAATGTGCATATCAGCTCCTAGTTTCAGTAACCTGTTAGTTCAAAATACCAACAACGTTAATTAGTATTCCTTGATATATGCACATATATACTTAGCTACGACTCTGTATGGAGAGAAAAGAGCTTCGTTTGATTTTTTGCATGGATGTTAAGTTGTTTGTTATTGTGCATAAAAAAATGATTGCAAAATTATAAACCTATCAAACAAAATTCAACGAATCACTTAGGGTTTCATTGACGTACTACTGTCTGGAGGCTGACATACTGCACTTGGACGAAAAAGCATGTTAGCATGGCCATTGGGTAACCGTATACCATAAAGTAGATGCTCATATACTGAACTTGAACCTCGCAACAAGGTTCAACACTGCATTTTTATCAAGTCTGGCAATTTTAAGTAGCTCAAAAATTGACAGGAAGGAAGTTCCAAACCAGAACCAAAATTCTTTGAAAATAACGCTATGTGTTATCTCAGAGATACAAACTAAGTTAACTGTTGGTGCTGGATCTCATAAAATGAAGAAATAAATGAATTTTTACATACAAACTATGATTGTGTTCAACAGCAATCAGTGTAGAACGTACACCATAATGTCGTTTTGATGTTCTTTAAACTTAGTTTTAAACAAATCTTTAAGTTATTCCAATTCCACAATGTTCTTTCATCTGTAAAAATGACTCTACAAAGTTAAAAATAGCAAGAAAATTGGTCACACCTTCTTATCGGGAGGACCACAGCAGCAAACTTTATTTCGACAGCAAAGCTTGATTTTATAAGGACCATATTATGCTTAATCATGATATACTGGTATACTCGTCGATATCCTCAAGAAATGTTTGTTCATTGCCATCTGCTATCGGGTAACGGATTAACAAATACAAATATTAAATTCTCTCTGCAAAATTTGATAAACAAACAAATTTATAATTTTAACCTCAGTAAGTAGGGTCAGACAATATTTACTTAACGAAAAAAGTAGTCCCAGCTAAATTTAAATGTTACTTAAAAGCTTACAAGTTCTTGTACAAGTCAAAGAAGGCTACATGTTTATTCCCACACGCAGAGAGACGCCGAGTAATAAATATTAAAATAAAAAGTACTGGAAAAATAACCTCAACAGCTTAAAAGGTAATCTGTTGGAGAAACATACATACATGCTATGCGGTATGGGTTTTGCTTATTGTTGAAGGTAGAACGGTGACCTCTAGTTGTTAACTGCAACGTCATTTGGTCTCTGGTACAGTTTTCTCATTGGCAATCACACCATATCTAGTAATTTGTATATAGGTTTTTACGATGTTGTTTTCTATCTTGAATGATTGGCGTAGGTCTGATACTCGGTCATGTAGCACCAAAGGTTTTAAATTGGCCTTTGCCGATCTCAGTTATAATCATGGCCCATTCAAGTGCAAGAGCTCGTAGTCTAGATTCAACGTGTCTGTGTAGGGAGTCCTTAAGAATTGTCTTCACATACACTGGTTTGTACCGTGTGAGCTAGTACATTAAAGATCTATAGCTCAAATTGCTGGTCTAGTACAATATGCATGTAGTATTTGCCATTGGACGTTAAGATCAATTAATCAATTAATCAGGTAATCAGTTAGTTGTTATTTCCTGTTTTGGCTTCATTATTGTAAAACACTAATCTAAAGTTTACAGTCTAGTCTAACAAGCAGTCCAAAATCGAGCCAAACTTAGTAATGCTTTTTTTGGAGTAAACTAAGAATTGAGGTACATGCATGGTCTCGTGTTCGCAATTGTCTACTATACAAATAAGTGCAAGAGCCGGAAAAGGTGGCCAGCTCGGGAAAAGCTACATAGAATACTCTTTTTAATGCACTTCAATGAACCAAGCAGCTGTATTTTGACTTGCCTAATTAACCTTCGAGAGTCTTCCTTACATTTAACAGTAGTATCTGATTGTACCAACTACAGACTGCATTGGGGAGGTGCATTTGATTTTATCAAAAGCAAGAATATGTAATTTGAGATAATTTCATTTTCTATTTATTTTGAATGTAAATACTTAAATACATAATTGCAGTTTTTGTAACACCACACTGCTATTGAAATTAACGATTCTATCACTTTGTTTTCAGTAAAAATGAAACTTGAAATTTAAAAGGCCTTTTGACAAATGTGGTTGTAAACATTTATAGAAATATCGTAAATTATAAGAGTTCATAACAATTTAGTATAATTCCCCAAACAAAGAAGAGAAAATATAAATATTTGTTGCATCTAAGGGAGACATCGCTTTTCTTTAATTTAAAAATAGCATTAAAAAATCACGAAGTATAACTAATAAACCCATATTGGTGGTTGTGGAATATTGTTTATTGTGTTTTCTATCCATAGATATCCCAAATTAAAATAAAATTTCACTCCCACAAAGAAAAAGTGAAGATTAAATTACATTTCACTTAAACTATCTTGTCCTCTAGAGTTTCGTTTCTTTGTTATAAATAATGATGCTTATTACAGGGAATTGTAAATTTTGACAGTTTAATAAATAACAAAATAAATGTTGCTAATTGGCGATATTGAATATATACATGTAATAAGAATACAATTAAGAGCTGGTTTAAGTTACAGCCATTAAAATCAGAAGTGTATACAAGTCTTGCAAAGAATCCAGCAGTGCACCTCTTTGGTTTAAATGTTGTTGAAAAAATTTAAAACTTTGGTGGTGTCACTTAGATGATAGCTACTTTACTATCTCAATTTTTATTATTGTCTAATTGGGAAAATATAAATACTGACTTTTGGGAGTCTGCTCCAAGGAGAACAGTCCTTCACAGAAGATTAATTATCATAACCAAAGAGACTTCTGTAAAAAATAAAAGTAATCAGTAATTGCTGGCTCCATTCTGAACCCTCACCTATTTGCAGCTAGAAATCGTGGTGAGAAGGAAAATTTCTTATCTAATCCTTATAACTTTATGTCACATCATGATGGCCATCTTGAATTTTCAGCATTTAAACTGAAATATTTGTGCACATCACCTTATGATGCATGCAAGATTGAAGCACTCATGTTGAGCATAATATGTTTTTTTCCTTACTGGCTTCTCATAAATACTGATGACTTCTATAAATTTTATGATGAGTTTTTATGTAAACTGTAAGTAGTGTTTTTTCTGATTTTTGTTTTGTTTTCTTTAGCAGCAGTATTCTACTAACAACTGTGGTTTCCAATAGACTATTTTCATATTACCAACTTTTGACTACAGATTATATAATTTGTCGACTGGTTACCAAGGTAACCAGTCGACAAATTATATAATCAGTACCAAGGTAACCAGTCGACAAATTATATAATCAGGAGTCAAAAGTCAGTAATATGAAAATAGTCTATTGAAGCAATTTTTACCATGCTTTCAAAATTAAGTGCCATATTTCATTTCTGTTCAAGTTGGTGGTCATCTTGTTGGTAGCTGGACTGTGTGGGTTATTATTGTGTGTTTTTTTTTTTGTGAGATGGGAGATGTGTGTGCATATGAAAAACTGGTTTAATCCTATAATCACAGTTTGCTCCTGTATAAATTATCGTCTGGACCATGTTTGCTACAGTTCTTTTTTAGGGGTTGGTGTTGGATGCTGGTGGTTGGTGTACTCTTATTTACAGTCCAATACTTTTTGTTTTATTCCTGTCATCCCTTGTATATACCATAAGCCTAAGGTATAATCAATTTTCTGGATTTTTGTGTCATTTGCGAAAATGTCAACAACAAAAAATCTTTTGATGTTTGCATAAAGAGCAAAGATATACCAAAAACTAAATAATTACTCTAACATTATTACGCTAACATTGGCTTAATTTTCATCATAACTATGAAATCCAGGCAATTCACTAACAGAATCCATAAAAAATTTCTCATCTTCTTCACTGTACTCACACAAATTTGTACTTTCACTTAAATCATGAAAATCTTGTGGAATATACAGCATGCCAGCTGAAACATTTAAATCCAATGACAAATCTTCTGTCTTGTCATTTTTACGAAATGCCAAGCAGTGAAGATGTTCAAGTTTTACGTAACGCCACTGTTTGAAACCTATAGATTCTATAGCTTCTTTCCAGTTTTTTATCATGGCTGCATTTCTATGCTGTTTATGTGAATCTGGTGTTATTATTAACAAAAGCCCATTGGTATGAAGTAACTCATTTGCCTTCAGACAGCATGTCCATCTTTGTTCTGGAGAAGGAAGATATTCCAATAATAAAGAAAATACAATGACATGAAAGCTGTTCTTTGGTAACTCAGTCACAGGGCTTTTTAAATTCTGTAAATATGATTCTATAAAGTCAATCTCCAAAGGACAGGTAGTCTCCAACTGAAGAAAATCACAACATAAAACATTCTGAAATTAGACAAAAACATAATGCAACATGAATATATAAGTTTCTAACTTCTATGTTATTTGGTCTCTAGTGAAGTGTTGTCTCATTGGCAATCATAACACAACTTCTTTTTAGCTCACCTGGCCCGAAGTGCCAAGTAAGCTTTTCTCATCACTTGGCGTCCGTCGTCCGTCTTCGTCATCCATCATCGTTGTCGTTAACTTTTTACATTTAGAACTTCTTCTAGAGAACCACTGAATGGAATGAAACCAAACATGGCATGAATGTTCCTTATGAGGTGCTTACCAAGTGTCGTTACTTTGAAGCCGATCCATCATCCAAGATGGCCACCAGCGGGGGACTTCGTTTAGCATAGGACCCTATGGACAATACATACAAATGTCTTCTTTTGGAGAACCACTGAATGGAATGAACCCAAACATGGCATGAATGTTCCTTATGAGGTGCTTACCAAGAGTTGTTACTTTGAAGTAGATCCATCATCGAAGATGGTCGCCAGCGGGGGACTTCGTTTAGCATAGGACCCTATGGACAATACATACAAATGTCTTCTTTTAGAGACCCACTGAATGGAATGAAACCAAACATGGCATGAATGTTCCTTATGAGGTGCTGACCAAGTGTTGCTACTTTGAAGCCGATCCATCATCCAAGATGGCCACCAGAGGGGGACTTAGTTTAACATAGGACCCTACGGGAAATACATACAAATGCCTTCTTTTAGAGAACCACTAAATGGAATGAAATAAAACATGGCATGAATGTTCCTTATGAGGTGCTGGATAAGTGTTGTTACTTTGTAGGCGATCCATCATCCAAGATGGCTGCTAGCGGGGGACTTAGTTTAACATAGGACCCTATGGGAAATACATACAAGTGTCTTCTTTTAGAGAACCACAGAATGAAATGAAACCAAACATGGCCTGAATGTTCCTTATGAGATGCTAACCAAGTGTTGTTATTTTGAAGCCGATCTATCATTCAAGATGGCTGCCAGAGAGGGACTTGGTTTAACATAGGACCCTAAGGGAAATGCATACAAATGTCATCTTTTAGAGAACCACTGAATGGAATGAAATAAAACATGGCACCAATGTTCCTCATGAGTTGTTGACCAAGTGTTGTAACTTTGTAGGTGATCTATCATCCAAGATGGCCGCCAGCGGGGGACTTCGTTTAACATAGGACCCTATGGACAATACATACAAATGTCTTATTTTAGAGAATCACTAAATGGAATGAAACCAAACATGGCATGAATGTTTCTTATAAGGTGCTGACCAAGTTTTATTACTTTGAAGCAGATCTATCATCCAAGATTGCTGCCAGAGAGGGACTTGGTTTAACATAGGACCCTAGGGGAAATGCATACAAATGTCATCTTTTAGAGAACCACTGAATGGAATGAAATAAAACATGGCACCAATGTTCCTTATGAGTTGTTGACCAAGTGTTGTAACTTTGTAGACGATCCATCATCCAAGATGGCCGCCAGTGGGGGACTTCGTTTAACATAGGACCCTATGGACAATACATACAAATGTCTTCTTTTAGAGAATCACTAAATGGAATGAAACCAAACATGGCATGAATGTTTCTTATAAGGTGCTGACCAAGTTTTATTACTTTGAAGCAGATCCATCATCCAAGATGGCCACCAGAGAGGGACTTAGTTTAACATATTACCCTATGGGAAATACATACAAATGTCTTCTTTTAGAGACCCACTGAATGGAATGAAATAAAACATGGCATGAATGTTCCTTATGAGGTGCTGACCAAGTGTTGTAACTTTTTAGGCGATCAATCATCCAAGATGGCAGCCAGCAGGGACTTAGTTTATTGATTGCTATTTCTTGGCAGTCAGTTTTTATTGGTGGAGGAAGCCAGAGTGCCCGGAGAAAACCACCAACCTTCGGTAGAAAAAATGACAATCTTAGTCAATTAAGATTGGAGTCGAGTACACCTGCCCCTTGCGGGATTCGAACTCACAACATCAGTGTTGACTGGCTAGTGATACAGTAGTTGGACTACTTAGACCACTCGGCCACCGAGGCCCCTGGGACTTAGTTTAACATAGGATCCTATGGGAAATACATACAAATAAAATTGAGAATGGAAATGGGGAATGTTTTCTTTTAGAGAACCACTGAATGGAATGAAACTAAACATGGCATGAATGTTCCTAATGAGGTGCTGGCCAAGTGTTGTTACTTTGTAGCCAATCAATCATCCAAGATGGCTGCCAGCAGGAAACTTAGTTTAACAAAGGACCCTATGTGAAATACATTCAAAAGTCTTCTTTTGAAGAACCACTGAATGAAATGAAACCAAACATGGCATGAATGTTCCTTTTGAGGTGCTGACCAAGTGTTGTTACTTTGTAGCAAATAAATCAACCAAGATGGCTGCCAAAGGGGGACTTAGTTTAACAAAGGACCCTATGGGAAATATATACAAATGTCTTCTTCTAAAAAACCGCTTAATGGATTGAAACCAAACATGGTATGAATGTTTCTTTTGAGGTGCTGACCAAGTGTTGTTACTTTGTAGCTGATTTATCATTGTCCTTACAAAGTCATTTTCTACAATTTCAATGAATTTATTGGTAATTTCTGTATACTTTACAAAAGTCTTCTGCTTTTGATTAAATTACGGGGCCAATATTAAACCAAATTTGGCCTCAATCATTATTAGGGTATCTGTAATGATTTTAATCTATTTTTACAAGATTTCCAAAACCAAAGTAGAATCAGGTGAGCGACACAGGCTCTTGGGAGCCTCTAGTTTATTATATTGGTCACTATGAAAGGATAATTATATGTGGAATACTATTTAGATTTTATGGTTTACTTTAAACATAAACTTATTTATAGTCAAAGTATGATTCTGCTTGTACTGTATAAAGCTCACTGTGTATCATCGCCACCGGAAATTGGGTACTAACGAAGCGGAGAGAAATGGAAAAAAAAGGAAACAAGGTAAGAATTCATTCAATTTCAAGCATTTCTACTGATTTGACGAGGGTACCGCTTAAGAAATGATTTTCTGATATATAATTCTTTAAATTATTAGACCGATAAGTACAAAATCAAGACAATATTTTGTGTTATACTCCAAAGCTTGCCACTTAGTACCTGAAAATTTCTAGGTCGAATGTCCTCTGTCGTCCCATTGGCAAGATATTCAACTGTTTTTCATTATTTTTCCAGACACGTTTTTAGATTATGATAGTGTGACATCATATTGACTGAAATCTGTTGTCATAAAGATGTTTTTAAAGAATATGGACCAAAACATTGTGTGTTTATTGTACGGCGAATTGCAGGACGTTGTACGGCGAATTGCAAAATAACAACTTTTGTCTGTACGGCGTCTTGCAATATATTGTAATTTAAAGATGAAATTAATCACTGTTTAGATAATATCAAGTGACGAAATTTTGGCTGTATCAAAGCTTTACCGGCTTACAAATATACAAAATAAACTACTTATCAAATATTATAAAATATATGCCGTTAGTTTCGTTCAGAAGTCGTCGTTGCGTACCTCTATTTGACTTTATGTTTTTAAAGACAAACAGGTTTTTTTCAACCATATTATCCTAAATACATTCATATATCGTTATAATACTAACGACTGTTGTCTTATTTGTTGTCAGGGTGAAATTTTGTAAGTTCAATAAAAAAAACCCGACCATTCATCTTTTGTTGGTGCTGTTTTTTTTTTTTTTTTAATATAAACAGTGGAGATGTTGTATGATTGCAAATAAGATTACTATCCACCAGGGTCAAATAAAGTATATGTAAGCAATTATATGCTATCGTTTGGCCTTCAACAACGAAAAATCGTACCTTACAGTCGGCTATAAAAAGCCCCGATATGAAAATTGTGGGAGGATATAACAAGAAAACTAACGGCCTAACTCATAACAAAACAATTTACGATAAATAACAAATATGATAGAAATGAACCAACGACAACCACCAAACTACAGGCTCGTGGCTTTGGACAGACACATAAAGAATGTGCTGGGTTAAAAAGATATAGGAAGATGTGGTATGAGTGCCAATGAGACAACTCTCCATCCAAGTCACAATTTATAAAAGTAAAACATTATAGGTCAAGGTACGGTCTTCAACATTGTTTATTTTTTAAATTTCTGAAATGAATAATTTGTTAAAAGAAAAGTGAAGAAAATACTTTGTTTTCATTGAAAATTAGGAGAAATAAATCATGAATTGTGTTTCGAATTAATTTTCTTGTTTCTTATTGAAAATAAGATTGTATTTTTTAGTTTAAGTAAATTTAATCAAATCTTTTTATTTACAGTGAAAAAATAATAAAAGACTTTTGCTAAGGCTGTTTGGTCTAAACTTAAATGAGTAGATGGAGGGGTAGTGAAAAGGAGTGTATTCGTTCGAATTTTCATTGTTACAGTAGTACATTTTCATGATTACTATGTATAATATTTCTCATTAAATTTTAATGTGATATTGTGCCAATTAAAACTATATAATTAATACAAGTAAGACTTGCATTTGCCTTAAAAGATATAGCAGTACGTGATTATTTGTTTTCAAACACACCTTCTCTGTTTTGAAACTTATAAAGGTATGGATCTCGGCCTATCTGTTTGGTCACGTTGAATATGAATGTGAATTCATAGTTTCAAAATCAACAGTAAGCCCTATTTTTGTGTGTGTGTAAATAATCTAATCTTTAGATAAATGCTAAAATTAAAATCATTTTTCTTAATAAAAAAAAAGTGCAACTTAAGCACGCCTGGATGTAAAAAGGTGTACCCGACTTATTCGTTCACGATAAGAATTTACCGATTTCGGTATTTTAACAAAACTGTTTACGAGGGCAAATAAACAAATGAACGCTATCAAATCAACATTTAAATTTACGTGGATTTTTCCAAAAAAAATTATGAGTATGCACCATCAGGATTCAAAAATATTTCAACCTGTCCTTATTAGATGTTGTTTCATTA